TTCTACCAATTTGTACCAAACTCGGTGTGGTTATTGGGCTTGCCACATAGAAGCAAAACGTTGAAAATTATTGAAATCGAACTAAAATTACGACCGCTTTTCATATAACAGTGAATTTCAGAAATGCTTGAAACTTCAATATTTCGAAATTTAAGGACGCTAATTTACTCAAAATGGATACACCCCGGTTTACCATGTAGCGGTAGCTTTCGGAAAGGTGAAAAACATATATTTAATACTTGCGCCGGGTATTTAATGTTCGGCTCAGCCCGAACTTAGACTTTCTTACTTGTTTTTAGTTAATTTACTATTAATCTCCAGTTTGTTCACTTTAGTGTGTGCTGACTATGGTTGCCGTATGTCATTTTAGTTTGTACCATAATTGCCCTTTAAATATACCAAAATAGATAAAAATGCAGCAAGCTGAAATGTTGTTGGCCGAATTTGTCAGTTTTGCTAGGTTGATTGTTGAAATTAGAATTTTATAATTTTAAATGTACATTTGTAGCATCTACATAAATGTACATTTGTAGATATCGACTAAATTTTTTTTTGATCAAGGATGGGTGTTTGGAGGATATTCTCTTAGGGCCGGTTGTTCAATGTCTGGTTGACACAAATCGGAGGTAGAAGCTCCGGTTAAATACAACGACTGCTTTATCCATCACATGTTATATGCATGATGTCGAAATCGTCGATAACAATATTTAACTGGGAGGTGGTGACAACCAGATATTGAACAACCGGCCCTTATTTTTGAATGTGCCATGATGTGGTATCACAAATAATTTTGAGAAAAATATTTCATTGATTCCGATATAATTAACTTGTATTTTAAAAAGGTTTTTCGGTTCCAAAAGTATGCAATTGTATAAAATGCACAATCGGGGAAAATGTACCAAGCACAAAATAAATTGACAAATGACCCACCAGTGGCAACTGTGGAAGTGATCAGCTGTGTCGAAGGCTGTAAGTTTTTGCAAATTTTGCGTTCCCGTACTTCTGTGGATATTTTGTCTCTTTGAGAGCGAATGCTGCTAAATTCTCAGAATCTTTTCTGCTGGATAATTTTGTCCTCTCAATACGAGTACACACCTATTGGTTAGCCAATTTTGACTCAGTGAGGGCATTACGAATGAAGCTGTAGTGGGAATACCATATTAGAAAACTGTATATATCACGTTTGCGCTGTTTCTTAAGACTGGTATCAGATTTACACAGGGCAAGTAAATATGTATAAAGGTACAAAGAGTGTACGTTTTTTATTACAAACTAGCAGATCCGGCGAACCTCGTCCCACCCAAAATTAATTTTTTTTATTGAAACATTTGGTCCAACGTTTTCACCAGCAATTCATGTTCACGTTTGGTTTTGTGGTCGACAGAAGGCATGGAGGATTCCATTGCCATCTTAAATAACCTGACGAAAGCGTTATACCAGGACGAAGTCCTTGCGGCTCGATAGTGAATCGTCCTTGAATCTCTAGTATAGTTGGTGGTAATTTCTAAAATGGTGAGTATCATTGGTCCACCGCAATTGTTCTGATGGTTGATATAACGGGAGTAATTTGACTTTGATTCCTGATGCCTCCGGATCGACAATTTTAGCAATAACTCGGCTCCAGCGCCACTAAAAATTGTCATTAAAATCTACCAATTTCGTGGTTAATCTTTTTCAACACGTCGTATAATGTAAATCATCATGTAAAACTGTGTATTTAACACTTTTGACAGGGTTTAGTTTGACATGATAAAAATTGTTGAGTTAACACGAAAAATTTGTTGATTTTACCTGAAACATTGTATTTTGGTTAAATTTACAAGAATTATTGTTAAATTAACAATAAGTGATCGTGTTAAATTAACACGATGAAAACTGTAAAAATAACACCAACAATTTGTTGAATTTACCTTACATTTAATCGTATTAAAATAACACTAATTTATGTTTAATTTAACACTGTCCCCTCCCCCTGCTTTACAATAAATAAAATGCTCATTGGTTTAATACTTTTTAACATGGTTTTATTTACATTTGTTTAACAAATAGCATTTATACAAATACACAAATATACAAATAGCGAATAGCATTTCATAAAGTATGTGTATGTACATATATACATATGTGCACATGTATGTTTTTGTGCACAAAAACTCAATACATATAAGCTATTTTTTATTTTCAAAATTTTACATCAACCTTTTGTACACTTCCTCATCGAAATTCATTTTTCCACAAATTATTCCCTTTAAATTTATGTTTTTGCACTGGGCTGCGGCGGCGTCGGTCTGCGGCAGAGGAGTCTCAATTTCACTGCAAGTGAGCACATCGCCGCTCGGAACAATCAAAAACAAATCACCGCATTCTTCTTCGTTTCAATAATAATAATAATAATATCCCAACGGTTTTTACCCTCCATTCCCGCCCATCCGCACGAGGGGCGCAGTCCGCATGACGTACGGAACCAGTATTTTCAATTTTTGCGCCGAGTCACGATAGGCAGGAGTTTGTTAAGTGTCGAGATCTAAAACTATTCAGCTACAGAACTAAATTCATCAGCCGATTTTATGTGTTTATTTTAATGATTCATTTATTGAGAGAGGACAGTATCGATTTCTTAATGCTGAAAAGCGGATCTGATATATCAAACGTGCTGGAATGAGAGTTAAAATCCTGGCATAAGCAACGGAGTGGGTCGTGCAATTCAAAATT